CTCCTGTTTGACCACTTCCAATTTGCCTTGATTCATGGACCTAACATTCCAGGTTCCTATGCAATATTGCTCTTTACAGCATCGGACCTTGCTTCTATCACCAGTCCCATCCACAACTGGGTATTGTTTTTGCTTTGGCTCCATCACTTCATTCTTTCTGGAGTTATTTCTCCACTGATCTCCAGTAGCATATTGGGCACCTACTGACCTGGGGATTTAAACTGTCTATAAATTGCATAATAAACAGTTTGCACCAGTCTTCCTCTCTCTTCTAAAGGGCAGTTAGGTCTCCTAATCCCTCACCATCCCCATAAATTCACCTCCTGGGCCCGCCTTGTCTCATGAACACGTGTCCACACACTGACCCCACCCTCTGGAAGAGCTCTCAGGTCAAAGTGCACGAGATCACATATTTAACAAGATGCTGTCAGTCTTTATGGGACCAGTCGCTGTTGCGCTCCAGCCGCTCATCCTGTTACTGCTCCATTGAGGGGCAGACAGTCATGGGAATGTGGGGGCTTTTCCGAACCCCACTGTGCAAAATTCCGCTCAAACTCATCAGTGTCTTTAAGGTCACAGAGCAGCTCCGACATAGTTGAAAAATGAGAAAGGGCCGTGGGCTGCTCTGAGCTCATTGTCAAGCCCGGTGGCTCTGCTTTCCCTCCCTTTGCACCTTTGTTTCTGTCCTTTCAACATCTAAACATTTTCTGACTTTGGACAGCACAGTTGCACTCTCCTCTGAGCAGATGTTCACAATTACTTGGAACAGCCGGCCTCTGTACTGAGCCCCCACACCCTCAAGAGCCCACAAGGGGACCTTAACCGTCACCCTGCCCAAGGTGTGCCTGCGGGTCCTGGGTCAGGTCCCGGAAGGGGACTTCTCCCACTCCCCGCAGACCTTGTCTCCTGATTGGCTCTGACATCATGGAAGTACTGTGTCTTTCAAGAGCCTTCAGTACATCTGTTCTCAATTTTCAGACCACAGGGCGAGGGTTTGGGTGCAAGGAGTTTATCTGGGAAGTGATCACAGGAAGCCCTTGAGGGTGCAGGGAAGTGAGGGGGCAATCAGGCAAGACGCACTATGTGTGGACAACAGGCCACCCCTGGGACCCTCGGAGCCTCTCACCCAGGAGATGGGTGTCCTCCGTCCCTTGTGGTCGAGGTTGCTCCCTGGCCAGAGGACAGCTCTTAACAACAGGGAAGTCAGGGAGACAGCAGGTCCTGCAGACATTGTCCTGCAGGGGAGACCAAGGCAGACGGGGAGGACACTGGCCTACGCCTGCTTCAGTTATTTTGGTACATTGTATCCTTCTGAGCACTTTCTCGTGTCTGAGTTTCCCATTAATACAAATGGGAGTCTGTGTTTTTAAATGCCTGTTCCTGTTTCAGCAGAATTATTTTCATTGTATATTCGTGGATGGTAAGAAATTTCTGTAGGTGCAATACTATAAGAAATCACACATGGCTCAGCTGAGCTAGAAAGCAGGTGACCTTGGGGAGGGCTGGAGCTTGCCTCTTTAAGCCCAGGGTGGCCCTGAGCCTACAGCGCCTGCTGGACTCTGTCTCCTGAGGTCACACAGCTGCTGCACCAGCCTCAGCTCCAGAGCCAGCCCGCCCTGAGGAGGCTTGCTTGCTGCAGTTCTTTTCCCGTGTGCTCTGCGTGACGTGTGGGAGTCTGCCTTGTATTAATACCTTCCTACATTGAATATGTCTACTTGTTAAGAGCTTCCAGACTCCAGCCTGTGCCAGACACCTCCTAGGCCCTCAATAGCTAGTTCAGGAACTGCTGAGCTCAACCCCCATGAGACCCACCCTCCTAGGAGTAAATGCACGGAATTTTGTCGAGCTAAATGATCTAGTTGAAATGAAGCATCTATTTTTTGGACATGCAAATTCATGACCTTTCCTCCTCCCCTCATGTTTTATATCCCAAATCCAAACCGGTCAGGGGGCCCCGCCTCTGGCCCTGAGTGCAAAGTTCTCGGCAGTCACGTTCCTTCCCTTGTCAGCAGCATCTGATGTGCGCTGGACTGTGGTGCCTGGTGGAAGGAGATACGTCCTGCAAGACCAAACTGGACCCTCCCCTGGATGGCACAGAGTGTGGGGCAGACAAGGTAACCCTGCTTCCCACTGCCCGTAGCAGGCAGCCAGTCCTATGTCCTCTGCACATTGGCACCTCTTCTGGAAAGTGCACTCAGGAGCCCCTGACATGCCCCGGGCCACCCTAGAAATGCCTTGGAGCCCACTTCAGGCACGGAGGGACACATTCACCTCTCCTTTCCTCTTATACAAGAATCATTTACTCAATACTTTTATTAAATTAACTCCTTTTGTTACATGAGTGAATTTACTTAAAATGTTTATATCAGCAGACCATAAATGGAAAAACAGGATTACTTGCCATGCACAAATCACTGTCATAAGATGATTTTAATGAGAACGGTGCTAGAGGTCAAGTGCACCAGCCCTCACACTGATCTTCTTTAACAGGAGAGACTGAAGTGTTAGAGGTGGTCAGGGCCAGCCACCACAGTCTGAGGCTTTCTCTTTAGTCTTACTGTAAGAACTGAAAGAGGGGCTATGATCACAACTATTTAATCACATCTTGTGCCCCTGGGGTTGTGCTGCACACTTTGGGAAATTATTTTCAAGGATTGGCTTTCCCTTATCCTCAGAAAGAGCCATGGTTCTCCCACATGGCCCTAGCTGTGTCATCTCCCAGCACCAATCCCAAATCTGAAGTTCAGAACTACAGAGCCAGGAAATACTGCCTTCCAGAAAGACTCACACTAAACAGTTTGCAGAAGGTGAAGTCTCTCTGTGAGCCATGTGCATTCATCCTTTTCTTCTGGGAATTTTGAGAACCTACACCAGATACATCATGTCATTTAGGGCAAAATCCTAACCCCAGAGCCTTAGAAATGTCATTTGGATATGGAAGGAATATTACCAAAGTTAGCAAACATACACACCCCGAAATAGTCTGCTTTTGTGTAAATTATGAAAATTGGGGGCTTTGGGGGCATGGTGTTTTCTCGCCTGGAGTGGACCTCGGTCATCCGTGAGTGAGCAGCTTTGCCGCCCTGCTGTGTTTCAGTGGTGCCGCGCGGGGGAGTGCGTGAGCAAGACACCCATCCCGGAGCATGTGGACGGAGACTGGAGCCCCTGGGGCGCCTGGAGCATGTGCAGCCGCACGTGTGGGACGGGAGCCCGCTTCCGGCAGAGGAAATGTGACAACCCTCCGTAAGTCCCCCACCAGCCTTCTCCAGGGTGCCTGGATCAGGGTGTGCAAACCGCAGCTCTCGCTGCCTTCCAGAGCAGCAGCTGTCTCCCACTGAGGCTTTGAGCTGAAGAAGAGTGAACTCGAACCAAAGGTCCAGGGCGCCAGGCCTTGTGTGCCTCAAATGGCATCTCAGCTCAGCAGAGCTCTCTCTGTGACAGGGAGGCAGTGAGTCCTGTGGGGAGCTGGCTCATCTCCCTTGCGTGGGCCGTGGCAGAACCGTTTCCCGAGACAGCTGGATGACAATCCCTCCTGGCCTGCTTCGTGGCTGCCTTAGAGGAGGGTCATCCCAGGGAAGCCGGCAGACCTTCGGGAAAACAGGGCTGACTTTCAAATTGGCCAAGAGCTGAACTGGGAGCAGCCTGGCTGTTGAAAAGTCACAGAGCATTTGTGGGTTCTGCTCTTGTGTATCCAGATATCTTTTACCTGTCCTGTTAGAGCTGACAGAAGATAACATTTTGCGTTGTTTTTTTTTCCTCCCTCATAGGCTTCCTTTTATTGACTTTGATGACACTGTGTTCACCTATGATAACCCTTGTTCACCTCTATACATTTGCTCTGAAAAACTCAGGGCTAGATCTTATCCTCAGTTGTGGCAATTCCTTTATCACAGGTTTGGCATGTTTCTTCTCTTGAAATTTCCAACTTTTAATGTTTCTTTAAATAATCTGTTTTATATCTTGTGTGCCATTAACTACATCACATTAATTTTGAAAATGAGAAAGTTATAACTTATGACTAAAAGGAAATGGTTTATATCATCAGTTAAATCACAGTAATGAGTGATTAGCAAACCCTTCTTGTATTTAAAAATTCTGACACCGAAGGTATATCCGGGACCAATCAAATCACAAAGTCTGGAGGTGGGGCCAAGGAGTCAGATGTGTGAATCTCTCCAGGTGATTCCAATATCCAGCCAAGGCTGAAAACCTCTGGATTAAAGGAAAACTTGTGCTCACAGTTGAGGCAATGCCGAGAACACTGTACTCTCTGGTAGCACCATAAGAATTGGCATTACGTACTGTGTCTTATTAAAACTTCTTCCAGCACCTAGCAGAGTACCTGATGCATGGTAGGTAGGTATTTAAACTTTTAGAAATGAGTTCTTAATTAAAAGCATAGGTGGTATGTTACAATTTTCCAGAGAGGCAGAACCCATAGCCATATATATATGATTTATTATCAGCTCACATGGTCCTGGAGGCTAAGAAATCCCTTGATCTGCCACCTGAGCTGGAGGCCCAGGTGTAATTCAGTATGAAGGCCAGAGAACCAGGGAGCACATGTGTAAATATCACTCCAGGGGCAGGAGAAGATAGAGTAAACATACCAGCTCAGTGAGGGCTTTTGTTCTCATCAGGCCCTCAGTTGGCTGGGAGATGCCCACCCACACTGGGGAGGGCATCTGCTCTAGGAATCCACCGATCCAAATGCACATCTCACCCAGAAATACACTCACAGACACTCCCAGGAATAGTTTTCAACCTTGGCACCCTATGGCCAGTCAAGTTGTTATGTAAAATTAGCCATCATAGGTGGGTGGATGATTAGAAGAGGTATGTAGCTAAGTGGTGAGAAATTAATACTGGTTTCTGTTTTTCCGTTGCTCTGTGATGATATTAAAATAGTTCCACCTCTGGCCCAGAAGAGAGCTCTGGGTTTGGAATCATGGTATGGAGATTTGGGCCTGGTTTTGTTGGTTATTGGTCCTGTGACCTCAAAGCGGATCCTTCTTTCTTTGCTTCTCAGTTTCCTCCGTGACAGGAAGTAGAGTATAGTAGGTATAGTAGGTACAGTAGGAGGAGCTAGACTTCAAATCCCAGGGCCACTTTTCGTAGCAACCCGTGACTGTTACCGGCTTATTTATCTAAAAATCAGAACAGTCCATGGGGATCCACTTGGAGTACCTGGTCTATATTTAATTCATGACCCCTCTTGATGTTGGCACTAAGAGAAAAACAGGGGCACGACCACATACCCTGCCTCCTACCTTGCTATTTTGAGACTCAGAGAAGGAAAGGCTTTGTCAACTGCAGAGCACAATTTGCAAAGGCTGTGGCTGTCATGGTTGTCCCGTGTTTCTGATTGGAGCTCAGGTGCCCTGATCAAAGACTGCTGTCCTTTGGCACATTACATACTTCATCTCAGGTCAGGTGACACCAAATAAATATCATAGTAGAGGAGTATCTGACTCTTTAAATACCTCGGAAAGGACTGTATGTCCCAACAATACAATTGCGTTTAGGTGAAGGCTCTGTTCCAGGAATAAGATGCTATTTCGAGCATGTGTGCTAAGTCGCTTTAGTCATTCCAACTATTTGTGACCCTGTGGACTGTAGCCCGCCAGGCTGCTCTGTCCATGGGATTCTCCAGGCAAGAATACTGGAGTGGGTTACCGTGCCCTCCTCCAGATCTTCCCAGCCCAGGGACTGAACCTGTATCTCTTAAGTCTCCTGCATTGGCAGGCAAATTCTTTACCACTAGAGCCACCTGGAAGCCCAAGATGTTACTAATGCTGGTTAATTGTGTTAGGCACAACTTTCATGGGACTAGATTTTGTATTTTGTGAAGATGATGTTGGCTAAGGTGCCCACATGCTTTGTCCCCACCCCCAATGCTTTCTCTGCTCTGGGACACTCCAGGGGCATTTTGTGTTGCCCCCAAGTGTCCAGGGAAGCTGGCATCTGGTGAGGGCCCCTTTGTGCCCTGTTTTTATCTTAGTCCCACCAACCACAGTCCCTTGGTTTTTCTCCCGGACACCTCAAACCTAACTCCCTTCCTAAACTTCCTTCTCACTTCCCCCTAGTTCCCCTCCCAGCCCACGTCCCCCTCAGTAAATAGCACCACCAGCTGTTGCATAACTTGAGTTCAAAGTCCCGAAGTCAATGCGTGTCCCCTTGTCCCTTCCCTTCCTCCTCCGCATCTGATTGTGATAAGAACAGGGCACACGGGCTCTCACCAGTTGCCAGCTTCCCTTCTAGGCATTTGCACGTAGTAAATCACCTAAAGCTGCCATAAGGGAGAGGCATTCTTTTTTTATCCCCATTGTACATGTTAAAAACTGAATCTTATGGAAGTTAGGTGACTTGCCACATGTAGTAAATCACCTAAAGCTGCCATAAGGGAGAGGCAATCTTGTTTTAATCCCCATTGTACGTATTAAATAACACTGAATCGTATGGAAGTTAGGTGACTTGCTCCAGGTCACACAACCTGCAGTGACAGGTCAGGTTTGGACCCAGCAGCAATGTTTCAGGGTCTTTTCAAACCATCAGCATCAGCCTCCCTGTTTACCCTGTGCTCCCCCTCCTCAGACTCATTCTCCACAGAAAGCCAGAGACATCCCCTCTTTTGTAAAGCCAATTACAATCTCTTCTTGCTTCAGCCCTCCTGGTCACTCCCCACTGCACTCAGAATGAAATCCGTGCTCTTTGCCGTGGCCCTGGTATTATTTCCTGTGGCTGCCATAATAAATTATCAGTACTTGGTGTCTGAAAACAACACAAATTCATCCTCTCCGAGTTCTGGAAGCCAGGAGTTTAAAATCAAAGTGTCAACAGGGTTGATTCCTTCTTGAAAGTCTGAAGGAAAAGCCATCGCTGGCCTCTCGCCCACCCCACGCCTCCCCTGGCAGCTGCCAGCCTTCTCTGCCCCATAAACACACCGCTGCACCTCTGCCCTCACAGAGGCATCTTCTCTCTGCGTCTCTTCACCTCCTCTTCTCTTCCCAGGACACTAGCCATTGGGTTTAGGCCCACACTAAGCCAGGGCGATCTCGTGATTCAGCGATCCTGATGACACCCATCAAGACCCTTTTCCCAGATAAGATTGCATCTGTAGACTCTGGGCAGGTTTGTCTTTGTAGAAGGTGCCTCCCTATTCAGCCCTCCTTTCTGTGCTCAGACACCAGCCCCGACCCCACCCCTCAGTCGGTGCCCCTTCCCTCTTCCCGGCTCCCTCTGCCCTCCTTGCATCTTCTCTTTAGACAGGCCTCCTCCCCTGACCACCGTGCCGGAGGCGTGTGCCTGCTCTGCACGCTCCCTCCGTACCCTCCCCTCACTTTACAGGTATCACAGTGTATAATCACTCATATGCATTTGCTCCCTTGTTTTCCTGCGCCCTCCCCCGCTGGCCTTTGAGCTGTGGGGCCCCATCCTCCTCGTGTGCCCGCAGCAGACCAGCCCCCCCAATGTGTGCTTGAGCACCTTACTGTCCGGGTGCGTGCTTGCTGAGAAAAAGCGGCTGTTCGATCTTCCCGTACTGCAAAGCACACACCTAATCTTGCCTTCCCCCCAAACACAAGGGCTGTTGTGAATCATTAGCCAGAAAAGAGGATCACCAGGAAGGCCCCTTCCCTTGTGCCGCCTCGCGTCATGGAGGCCCATGGGCTGTGAACAGCCAGGAGTGGGGTCCAGGTGTCCCTGCACCCAGGGGCCATCTCCTTCCAGCCTGCCCTCCCAGTGACGCAGTGTCACAGCTGAGGTGCTCAGAGCCTTCTCGAGAGCAAGCTCCAAACATACTCCAGCCTTGTTTATTCCAAGTGAGAGAAACAATATGTTTTTGCTCCTATAATAGTTACGCCTTGGTAGTCAGCTCAGCCCTTCACAATAACAGTGTGGCTCCATCTCCTGTTCTGAGCACAAGGGACAGGCTCTTTGTCCTCTGGAGTTTTCTACAGGGTTTCCCACCTTTGTAGAGCCACCCAGGTGAACGGGAGGGAAAGGGACCGGCCTCAGGGACGGCTTCACAGCAGTCCTGGGTGCTTCCCAGGAGAATCAGGAACAGCGAGGGTTTGCTCAAGTCCAGGCAGCAGCTGTCAGCGTGTTTTTGCAGAATGGCCTGAGGTGGTGATTGTTACAAAGCACAGCTGATGGCGGCCCTGAGCCAAGCTCTGACCAAAACAGTGTCCTCTCCCCGGCTCACTCCTTAAATCACCATGCTCACTGCCTTGAGAGCTCCCAAG